GTTTACAATGATAAGGCTTAGTTTGTTAAAGCTTTGCCCAAACTGCTGCAGGCACTTTTATCTCAACAGTTTACTTGTGTAGAATAAAATAAAATATCCAAATGTAAATCCAGATCACCTTAGCATTAGTCAACCTAGGCTAAGTTAATTATAGTTTCTGAATGAGGAGAAAGGGTAAGTAGATAATGTATTTTTCCGCCATTTGGACCATTCAAGTTAATGTGAGGATTCACATTTAGAGCTGATAAGATTTTGGTTTTTGGTCTTTCTGAAATGGGGTGTGTTATGCACCACACCCTTCATCCATCTGGCTTGTAGCCAACAGCTTGCTAGGCTACATTTGTAGCATCTTATACCACTGTGCATTGTACCTCTTTTATTCCAAATTTGATGTGCTTGAAAACATTTAAGGAACAGAAATTTTATTTGCTTGAAGTTCTGTTGTTTAACAACAGCAAAACACTTAAGTGGTCACTAAAATAAAGCCTGTAGATGGCCCTGCCTTAGTTCTAAGCTTCTGACAGGCAGAGAAACTCTTGCTTGAAAGATGTTCTTTGTCTATCTCTCTAGACCCATTGGTGACAGGCCGATGAGAGGACGCGGCGGTGCCAGAGGAGGCCGTGGAGGCAGAGGACGCGGCATGGGTCGCAGTGATGGCTTTGATTCCCGAGGAAAACGTGAATTTGATAGACACAGTGGCAGTGACCGATCGTAAGTTCTTTCAGTTCTTTTGTAATCCTCGAATAAAATATAAATTTGTACCAGGTCCGTTAAAGACCTTTTGTGTGTGTTTTAACGCAGTGCATGTGTAATGATCCTGGCTAAAGCAAATGTTGTTTCAGTAGTCTGAAAGGTGAGGAGAAGCGTGGCGGAAGTGGATCTCACAACTGGGGCACCGTCAAGGATGAGCTAAAGTAAGTTCCCATGTATGCAAAATGACTAACTTTGCATGACGGGACATAAGGCAGTTAAAGAGCATGTGCACGTGCTCTTATTGTAAAACTTGAATAAATGTTATAAGTTTCTCCTTGTATGATGTATTTTTAGTTAGCCCTTGCTGGTGGTTTATGTTTTGCCAAGGAGTTATAATCACACTTTGAGATGTTTTGGATAAGTGTGTCTTGATAGGTCTGGGTGTCTTTTTAGATGTCATCCCTTCTTATTCTGCTTATTGACTCAAAATCATATTGTATCCTGGTTCAGAACTGTGGTAAATAATTTGAGTAATAAAAGTAAGTAAATAAATAAAACTTCAAATTGCACAAAATACCCAGTTTATTGCTTACACCCAGCTAAAACATCTGATACAACAGCTGTACAATAAAACCCAACATCAAAGTTACAATGTGTTATTCTTTTTGGGTCTTCTGTGAAATTTGACCACAATTTGTGTGCTAGCTCCCGTCCACCAGATTGTAGACACTACATGTGCATGATGGGCAATGTAAACAGCAACAAGGTCCCAACTTCACTTACAGATTTCCCAGTTTTCAATAGCTAGCCTTATGTTTTGGTCACTAGGATGTGTTGACCTAATCATGACTTTTTTTTCCTACATAGTGAGCTTGACCAATCAAACAACACTGAAGAGAACCCTGAAGGAGAGGAGCATCCACCTGCTGACTCTGAGAACAAGTACGTTCTTCTTATCTATCTTGTCCAGACTCAGAAGAATAAATTGTGAAGAGATGTTTTTGGTTTTGCTGTGGCCTCCAGTTCTGTAGAGTGCAATATTACTTGTGTGTGCAAATCAACCTGAAGTTAAATTTAAATGTAAATTAAAATGAATGTCAGTGATGTTAAGGCCCCTAGCAACGCTCAACTCGGTGTCTCTGTTTTAAAGGGAGAATGAGGTAGAGGAAGTGAAGGAGGAAGGCCCCAAGGAGATGACTCTGGATGAGTGGAAGGCCATGCAGGACAAGGAACGGGCCAAGGTGGACTTCAACATCCGTAAAGCCAACGAGGGAGCTGATTGGAACAAAGGATTTGTGCTGCACAAGTCCAAGGCAGATGTAAGTCAAAATCAGCTGCACTCTGAGAAAAGTTTTAGATTTCACATTTCATTTTGGTGTGCCTGATCATAATTTGAGCATCATCAGTCATTGTAGACCTTAAAGATTTTTGGCAGGTTATTGGTGTCAAATAAGACCACATTTCTTTCTTTCTAAAGCAGAATAATAACATATGTACAAATAGGCATTGGACAGCCACCCACTCAGTCTATTAAAGAAACCCCCTTCACTGAGGTTTCAGTTTGAGATCTAGTGTAAACTAAAAGCAACATTAACACCGACCCTCAGTTTTGCACGCAATCTGAATGTTGCAGAAAACTCTTTTTCACCTTCACTCTGCATTTTCATTTGAGATGTAGAACAGTTAAGATTGAAGCAGGTCACTAAATGGTTACTGCGCTAACTCAAACCAGACATATTGCTCATACACTGGCATTTAAAAGTGAGCACAGACCAACGTTGAGGCAAGAAGATTGGAAGATAGAGTTGAAGATTTTTGAAGACAGGAAATGCAGGCCTTGATAGGATGTTTTTTTCCTAGAACATTGTCAATTGGTACAAACAGAATTTTGCTCACCATGTTGTGTTCATGTTTGTAATATGTTTGCCTTTGTCCATCACAGGATAAGAAAGGTGAACTGATTGACCCTGAGGTTGAGGAGCCTAAGGTAAAATCTCCACTGCTGTTGTGCAGTATTTGAAATCCATTGATACTTCTAAACAAAATAAGCCCAAAGCTGTAAATGTACAAAAAAAAAAAATCATAATTGGCCTTTCACCCCTGCTTTTGTATTTCAGGGAGAGGATGAGCACCACTTCCGGAAGCCAGCCAATGACATTACGTCCCAGCTGGAGATCAACTTTGGAGATCTGGGCCGTCCAGGCCGTGGGCGCGGAGGACCACGTGGTGGCCGCGGTGGTCGTGGCCGCGGTGGCGGTGGCGGTGGCGGTGGCAGTGCCGTTGCCGTTGGCGGTGAAGCCACTAGGCCGGTCCGCGGAGGAAGGACTGACAAGGTAGATAATGTTATGGAAGCCTAGTTGTGTCATGTCACCCAAGTATCTGCATTTTCTCTGTATAATAGGGCCACTGTTAGAATTGAAGAGTTCATGGATTGTCACTACCATTCCCTTCTTGTATATCACATCTTCAATTGAATTTTCTAACTCCTACTTAATTTTGGCTTTTCTTTGCAGTCATCTGCGTCTGTGCCCAATGTGGACGACCCAGAGGCCTTCCCAGCCCTGGCCTAAGCCCTGGCTGCTGTCCCTCAGGCCTACAGGAGCCTCCTGAGCACCTCCACTACGAGGCTTGCATGTTCCTGGATCCTTCAGCAAAGTGAAATGATGGAGAAGACTGTCATTAACTATGGCACTCAATGTGAGGACTGAGTTTTATCCAATAAAAACAAAACAAAGATGGAAAAAAAAACAGAAAGTAAGAAAAAAAAAAAACAAAAAAAGAAAAGGACTTCTTGCTACTCTGGAGCAACTTATTGGTAGAGGTTTTGTACTTGGAAACAAAGTAGCAGGGATGTTTTCATACAGTATTTTTTTCAGAGGTTATGCATTGTCCATTGATAAATTTTTGTAATTGCTGCTTGAAAATATGCATTTCGAAATATAAGCATAAGAAGAGTATCTTTAGCTTGGTGTGTGCCATTGCTTGCTTGCTTTAAAATAGGCACTGCAGAGCTCCAACCCAAGCTCATAAGCTCTGCCACACCAGGTATTTCAGATGAAGTTACAGCTTCACTCATTGAGATTTATGGATTTTTTTTTTCTTTAGCACTGGGGTATTGTTTTATATTTTATACAGGAGGTCTATTCTTCTATGATCTTCGGCCTGTAAATCTTGACTATTTTCATAAATTCTTTCAGAGACTGTATTTCACATGGTGCAAATAGGACACCCCTTGGTCTTTGATCAAGCGATGCTGTCTACATTTGAATGCATTGATGAAATGGCACCAAAATCTGTATTAAGGTTCTTTTGTACTGAAGTGTTTTGAAGGAGGAACATTAGGTCATTTTTGGAGGAACGCATTGGTGATTACTCTCCTAAATTTGCTGTGATCCTGAGACATTTATCACATTTGTCAAGTGGATTCATTTGAAGCTGAAAGCTACTCCATGTCTTCTGCTTTACTTATATTTGGGGTGCAGTTCACCATCTAATGTCTCTTCCTCCTTGCTCATTTCATCTCTGATTACTCACCATGTGCAAAGTCAATCAAAGCCTTTGTTTTACTGCAAAGAGTGATAGGGAGAGGAAGTATCTTGAGATGCGGCTGTGGCCCCCCCTCAGACCCTCTCCGACTGTTTACACACTCCACTCGAGCATCCTTCCACACATGTCAACTCAGCCCAGCGTCAGTTTGGTTCTGCTGTTTGTTCTGTGCTGATATTTTCCTCCACTGTTGACTTGCCCTGTAGCTACCACAGTGGCACCACTGCATAATTGCTCTGAAAGAAATACAGTCGTTCATTGTGTGGAACAACTGAAGTGCTCTACAAATGTGTGAATTCTAGCCCTGCTATTAGAGACCTCTGTCGGTAAATAAAGATGGTCGATAAATTTTTTGCGTTGTCACTTTTTTTATCCTGCCTACTGGCAAAATAATTCAACCCAAGTACAGTTCACAATTTGTCTTGATTCTGCTTACAACTATGTACGCACATGCTCTCTAGTATAGGTGACATTTGTGCTTGGTGAATGTCCTCATAAAATACTTTTGTGGACAAAACCTGTTAAGCATGCAGGTCAAATGGTCTCCTCCCACCTCAGGTTTTTGTTTAATAAGGTTTGAAAAGTTTTTTAAAGTTTAACATGGAATTCTGACATGCCAGTGCTTAACCTGCTGCCAACACTCACAAATACTCTTGTAAACCACCCTGACAATCAACTGTTTCAGACCAGTAGTTCATACAAGAGAAAGAAGACATTAGGCCTTAAACAAAAAAGACTTCAAACAGATGTTAGTACTGGGATTAAATCATTTATTATTTAATAAAAATGACATCAGATTCTCCCAATAAGGTAACAATGAAAGTAACTGATCAAAAGTCTGAGTTAAACTAATTTGGAAATAGAGACAGTGATTGGTTGCAAATCTATTAGGTAAAATGATAATCCAGTTTCCTCTTGATGAAGATGTAAAGAAAAACACTACGCAACCAATTTCAAACATCTCAGTGTTAGCCATGCTAGCGACATGACTTGGTAGGATAATGTTGGTCAATCAGTCAACTTTTTCGGACAGACTGAGGTAGCTCAACTACTGATCCGATGGCCCTGAAATTTTGTATAGGCATTCGTGGCTCCCAGAGGATGAATCCTATTGACTTTGGTGATTTCCTAATCTTTCCTCTGGCACCACCATGAGGTTGACATTTTTGGCTTTTAGTGAAATGTCTTAAATATTAAAATGATTGCCATGAAATTTGGGGCACATTTTCACGTCCCACTCAGAATGAATTGTAATAACTCGTGATCCCTTAACTTCTTGTCTATTACTCTCATTAGATAAAAATGTCAACTTGTTCAATAGTTTGGCTGATGACCAAATACCTGCAAAACAAGCTGTTCTTTGTTTTCAGTGGAAATAAGCACTTGTGAGCATTATATGTACGTAGCTCAAAGCACTGCTGTTCCTACATACAGCCTCACAGCTGCTAGCATGGCTGTAATCATTCCAAATATTTCCTTTTATCAAATGCTTTAACATTTTGCACACAGTATTGCAATTGATTGATTGTGATTTTGGTCTCAGCAACAACATTAGCACATTATCTGTCATGCTGCGATTAGATTAGGTAGCTAAAATAAGATTGAGGTAGCATAGATGTATTTAAAAGCACAGCTCTGGTTGTAAATGTTTTGAGTCTTCATAGAAAACATTTTGACATGTCCCAGTAGGAAAAGCACAGTGGTAAATAATAAAATGAACATGGCTAAATTCCATTTAGCTGCATCAGTTTTAGGGTTTTTCCAACCCAGTTCAGATGAAACACCGCCCACTTCCATGTGACTCAAGCCTCGTCAAGCCTTTTCAAAGATTACTGACGATCACAGTGACACAGAGCTGAGGTAAGTGATCTTTCAGTTAAAATATACCAGCGAATAAAATGTAATAAATTAATCTAACATTAATCCTTTCTTCTCATGCACATTTTTTAAAGCCTGCCAGACGTCCAGAGCACGAGCGGGTAAGTTAGTCATTATGTTGTGTGCACTTTCGGTGCACTTGTTGAATGCATGCAGTACTTGCACTTACACCAAGGTCTCATATTGCACCGAAGCTTTCATGATGTCCTTCACTTGTAACTTTTGGATAAAAGCGACTTCCAAAATGAGTAGACATGGTGTGTGCTCAGGACAGTACAACAACGTAGAAAAGTACCTGCAGTTAGATGTATCTTTGGTGGAGGCTTTCGTCACACGGAAAGGGGTGTTGTTTCATCTAAACTGGGTCAGAAAACGATTAGACATGTCCCGGTATTGTGCATTGTGGCACACTGTCACACTGTCATGGCTTAATGAGACACAGAGCCATTGTTAATGTAATTTAATAACACCTGCGCTTTTCCTACCAAGGCAAGTCAAAATGTGTGCTGTGAAAAGGGCCGATCAGTGCTGTCAGCATCAGGATTGAGGCCTTTTTACAATTACCTCAATTCAACCAGGCATAAAATGTTGATATCTGATATACTCATGCAGCTTGTGACGTGTTCATTTTGGTTGTGGTATTAGTGTGTCTAAAGCCATTCTGAAGAGAAAACAATGGTAATGCATAAAATGAAAGAAAAACTACATTCGAGTCAAAAATGATTCCTGCATAACAGCACAGACAACTGCAAGACAGCTGTTTATGTTACAGTTCTGATCAATAAGCTAAGAGGTAGTTCATGCACATCCCAGCTAGGTGCGTGATCCAAAAAAACAGACACTGAAATCATTGTTGTGTCCAGTAGCTTCCATTTCTTTCATTAGTTCTTCCTCTAAACGTTCTTCTCACTCAAACCTGATCTCATCAAAGAGTTCTGCTTCAGTTTCACACTAACTGTCCTGAAAGAAGTCACTACAGAAGTCAATTTTGACGGCATCCAGAGTCAACTTTCCTCCAAAGTTCAACGTTTCTATGAAGACGTTTTGAGTAGGGAAGAAACCCAGCATTTCTTCCTCCTCCTCCTCCTCCTCCTCCTCCTCCTCCTGATCCTCCTCCTCCATAGTTCCCATCCCGTGTGATGAGATATAGTCAACGGTTGTGTTTGTGTCCAGAGAGGTCTGTGTGTGGTCGGAGCTGTCTGAGTCATGCGAGAAGCTCTTGATGTACGTGCTCAGAGGGTATAGCTGTGTGGCCGTCTCTGTCTCCGGGCTGAGGCCGATCTGAGGACGGAGCTGCGAGGAGACGTTTTTAGATGTGGAGATGCCATTGTTCTGCTTGGGCAGCTCCTCCACATCCACCAGGATGGGCTCTCCTTCCTCCTTGGTTACACTGGAGTTACTTAGCTGTAGCTGGAGGTTCATCTTGCCCTGTTTGGGAGGAAGAAACAGGCTCAAACTAGGAACAATAAGCTGCAATGTAGCTTGAATTTTTTTCACTTTTACATAAATACCTTCTCCTGTGTACACTCTTTAGCCCATTTGCTGTTTGCAGGATCTGGCACAACATCGAGCATGAGGCACTGGAAAAACACCCAGAACCTGAGGGGGGAAGTAGAAAACTGCTGAACAATCTGGAAACTTGTTTTGGCAACATAATAATTAATTTTTGTTTTGCTGCATCGTTTCTTTGACAATAGTTGTGTGTTTTTCTGTAGAACGGTAGATGAACAAAATAATGTAACGTGAGCTTGTCGCCCATATGGAGGTGCTGTTGCTCACGTACTTTTGCTTTACTGCTGAACACTGGCACAGGCACAACAAAAGCACCACAATCATGAAGGTGATGCCACACACCAGTAAGAGCCACAGTGGAGTTTCTTCTGTAATAGTGAGAATAAAACAGGGAGAAGATGTAAAGTTGCAGCACATATATTTGTCTCCTCTAGTACAGTCAGTTAAAGTAGTGAAAGAAAAAAAAACAAACAGGCAATACAGCCATACCATATCATAAGACATTAGCAACTCCACATTAAACTGTCTATTACATTACATACTGTACATTATTTAAGCAACAGTACGTCTGCTGTTAATGTTATTACACAATCACTGTCATTGTAAAAAATTCAGCTTAGAGTCTTAAAAACGACCCATTATAGCCAACAGTCATCCAGGACAACCAGAAGCAGGTGACAGGCAACTAGTGGAGACTCCAAGATTGTCTCATCAACCTCAAAATGTCAAACTATTCTTTAATAGCAAATGTTAAAGGCGTTTACCCTGGATAAAGAGCTGGATTTTTATGCTTTTAGGGCCCTCTCCTACAGCAGTGGAGGCAGACATCCACAGCCAGTAGGCAGCTGGAGACAGGTCTTTGATCACGTACATCCTCTCTGATGCTGCCACAGAGTCTGAAACACAAAGTCGTATACACACAGCAGTCAAGCTGACTGACTGTCTGCATCCAAAAGGTACATGCTACAAACAAGGTGCTGTCACTACAGTGTACGAGTAGTTTCAACCAAATAAGGGACTGTGTGAAAATTATTCATTAGAATTATCTTACATTTTATTTTATAAAAAAAGCACATTTTTATGTAAATAATCTCAAAATTGTGAAAGAAAAAAAACGACCCTCCCCTACTCTCTCTTCATCAAATGAAAAAATGACAATTCCCTCCCCCTTTCCTGACATCCCTCCCTCTGCCTCCGTTACTGACAATCAAAGATAAAGTTGTTCTTACAAGGCTGCTGGTGTCCACTTTCGCTCTCCAAATAGATGGTGTACTTGGTGATACAACCCCTCCGCTGGCTCCTGGGAAGCTCCATCCATATCACTTTCACTGTCTGCCCCTCAACCTTCTCTTGGGCAATTGGACCAGCTTCTGGGACTGCAACCAGCAGCAGAACCCAAAAACACCACTCAATGAATGATGAATAATAACGGAATATTTTAAACAACTTAATACCTAAACTGAAAAGTTGTATTCAGCATTATCATAATATTATGGTTCAGAAAATTACAGAATAATACTAAAATAGTGCTAATCATGCTATATAGCTCCTCTCCGAACTTACCTGACTCCAAGATGGTGACACCTGCAAACATGGTCCGAGTCACTGAGCTCTCATTATAGACATCATACACTGCTCCCTCGTAGCACTCATATGGCTTAATATCTGCATAAAGACAGGTAGTGGAAAACAATGGTTGTATCATTTTGTAAGACAAGAAAGACAAAATAATAAAAGAGAAAAAACATGGCTGCCAACACCTAACTTAAAAAGAGGCACATCAGAGAGACACCAACATGGCTGAAGTGAAGAACTGTATGTCACTGCCTTTGCCTTTTTGTGTTACTCCACCACCGCATATCTCACCTGTAACGACTGCATGGTTGTCATTTCTGCCCAGTCTCATCCATCTGAGCTCCTCCAGCTTGAGGCCCTCTGGGTACCACTCCACCACATATGCAGCGGGTAGTTGTGCAGTTTCAGGCTTTCTCCAGGAGATGGTGACACTATGGTTCACTGCTGATACTTGCACATGCTGTGAGGACTTGGCTGAAAAGTGAGGAGCATGTATGAATACTTGCACTGCTTCATACAAGACACAAACACAGACACCACCTTCATACTTTGTTCAGTATTAGTAAAGCTCTTACTAAACAAGCTTTTAATTGATACAAGGTTTACTTTTTTTTTTTTACCTTTTGTGTGACGTGCTGTAATTCTAGCAGGAGGGGACAGCCCTTTGGAGTTACGAGCCCTCAGTGTCACTTCACAGTTAGCACAGATCGGGATGGTATAATTCCTGTCATTGCTACTGACATTAGTGACAAAGGCCAATCTAGAATCTGGGCTGTCAACACTGACAATGTAGTCTTTAATCTTCCCTCTGGAGACAGAAATGTTCGCTTCCTGCAATCAAAAAATAAAGTTTAAAGGTTTACCATTGAGTTTGATGCCATACGTTTGCTAAACAACAAAAGAAAAAGCTATTGTGTTGTGTCTATTACTGTCTGTCTTTACAGGATGCTCAGAATCAACACACTGCAAGATGACTACGTACGACACATCATTTCTGTTCAGCTGCTCTTTTCTTGTAAACTGAAACTGTGGTGTCTGCAGTCAGGTTTCACTTATCTCTCACTGTCTTTATGTGACAAATGAATTTATGAGTGTGTGTGTGTGTGTGTGCGTGTGTGCGTGTGTGTGTGTGTGTGTGTGTGTGTGTGTGTGTGTGTGTGTGTGTGTGTGTGTGTGTGTGTCCTTGTCCGTGTCTCTGTGTCTGTGTCTCTGTCTGTGTGGTAAATGGTAGGGATGTGTGAGCATATGTGTGTACGTATGTGAGAAGTTGTCATCTCAGAAGCGGTCAAGGGTTGACCTTTAGTTTGTGGAGAACATTGTAGTGAAGCAGGAAGATCACAAAGTGTTACTATGGCGACACCACCAGTCACCAACCCACACAGATGGTGAGTAAGAGGACAGGGAACCCATGGAGACTACTGACCTCTTAAGACAGTACTGTCACTCACACGGGCTCCACCCCTCCAAAACAAAGAGACTGGGTTTTTAATGCTGTCAGCCAAACAGTTTATTAACATATAACATCTGAATTTACATTCAGGAAAACCCATATGCAAATGTTATATATGTAGATGTGTTGAATTTCCATGTATGAAACATATGTATATATGAAGTAAAATCATATATGTATTTTCAAGTATAGCCTATACATGTAAAAGTTACAAATGAAACCTATTAGAAATTGAAATAATGTCATATATTGACATATATGTGTAGCTAATAAAAACATGTATTTTAGCATGTCTTTTAGCATGTCTGTTTATATTATGTTTATATATTACATACATAAATAAACAAATAGAAATGTATGTTTACATTTCATAAGAAATTATTAAGTAAATCCTGTACGAACATATAGAATTTTAATCAGCATGTTTTAATAAAGTTGCATTTTACTATGAGTATTTCATATGTTATGAACTTATATCTTCTTATATCCAGAGGATGTATATATGTCATAATAATATATCCTCTTATAGGCAAAACATATGGTAACATTAATCTTGATATAGGGACATATATGTTATTATATGTCATAAGTCCTAATATATTACGGCATAAAATGTCGTAATATATTAAGGCATAAAAATGTGAATCGTGCTGATCCACACCTGCTGCAGGTGAGTCAGGTTCAAGGTATGTTGGTCGATCAGCACTTAAGCTGATTCATTGAGGAAGGACGCCAACCTTCAGCCTGTAGCCTAGGTATCAAATCTAAGCTCGGATGACCTGAGATACATCACACAAGTGTGAGTGAGTGTGTGTGTTGAAAAATAAAAATAATAACCTATAATAAAACAGCATAAAAAAATGAAAATTTCAAATTATGTGTTCACATTTGTTCGCATCATACTATAGTGAGCAATAAAAATGTCAAAAAATGTCATAGTATAATAAGGCATACAATGTCATAGTATAGTAAGCCATTAAAACGCCAAAAAATGACATAGTATAGTAAGGCAAAAAAATTTGAAAAAACATCATAGTATAGTAAGGCATAAAATGTTATAGTATAGAAAGGTATAAAATCTCAAAAAAACGTCATAGTATACTGAGGCAAAAAAATGAAAAAAAACATCATAGTATAATAAGGCAAAAAAATTTCATAAAAAATTCATATTATAGAAAGGCATAAAATGTCACAGTATAATAAGGCATATAACGGCAAAAAAAACGACATGGTATAGTAAGGCAAAAAAAATTTGAAAAAACGACATAGTATAGTAAGGTAAAAAATGTCATAGTATAGAAAGGTATAAAATCTCAAAAAAATGTCATAGTATACTAAGGAAAAAAATGAAAAAAAACGTCATAGTATATTAAGGCAAAATAATTAAAAAAACGTCATAGTATAGAAAGGTATAAAACATCATAGTATAGTAAGGCATATAACGCCAAAAAAATGACATAGTATAGTAAGGCATAAAACGCCAAAAAACGTCATCGAATAAAAAGGTATAAAATGTCATAGTATAGTAAGGCATTAAAACGCCAAAAAACAACAAAGTATACTAAGGCAAAAAAATGAAAATAAACGTCATAGTATAGTAAGGCAAAAAAAACTTGAAAAAACGTCATAGTATAGTAAGGTATAAAACGTCATAATATAGTAAGGCATATAACGCCAAAAAAATGACATAGTATAGTATGGCATAAAATGCCAAAAAACGACATAGTATAGTAAGGCAAAAAAATTGAAAAAATGTCATAGTATAGTAAGGCATAAAACGCCAGAAAACGACATAGTATATTAAGGCAAAAAATGTGGAAAATCGTCATAGTATAGTAAGGCATGAAATGCCAAAAAACGACATAGTATAGTATGGCATAAAATGCCAAAAAACGACATGGTATAGTAAGGCAAAAAATGTCATAGTATAGTAAGGCATGAAATGCCAAAAAACGACATGGTATAGTAAGGCAAAAAATGTCATAGTAAAGAAAGGTATAAAATCTTAAAAAAACGTCATAGTATACTAAGGCAAAAAAATGAAAAAAAAACGTCATAGTATAGTAAGGCAAAAAAACTTGAAAAAACGTCATAGTATAGTAAGGCATAAAACGCCAAAAAACGACATAGTATATTAAGGCAAAAAATGTCATAGTATAGAAAGGTATAAATCTCAAAAAAACGTCATAGTATACTAAGGCAAAAAAATGAAAATAAACGTCATAGTGTGCTAAGGCAAAAAAATTTAAATAAACGTCATAGTTTAGTAAGGCGAAAAACGTCATCGAATAATAAGGGATAAAATGTCATAGTATAGTAAGGCAAAAAAACTTGAAAAAACGTCATAGTATAGTATGGCATAAAATGCCAAAAAAAGACATAGGATAGTAAGGCAAAAAAATTGAAAAAATGTAATAGTATAGTAAGGCATAAAACGCCAAAAAACGACATAGTATATTAAGGCAAAAAATGTCATAGTATAGTAAGGCAAAAAAACTTGAAAAAACGTCATAGTATAGTATGGCATAAAATGCCAAAAAAAGACATAGGATAGTAAGGCAAAAAAATTGAAAAAATGTAATAGTATAGTAAGGCATAAAACGCCAAAAAACGACATAGTATATTAAGGCAAAAAATGTCATAGTATAGTAAGGCAAAAAAACTTGAAAAAACGTCATAGTATAGTATGGCATAAAATGCCAAAAAAAGACATAGGATAGTAAGGCAAAAAAATTGAAAAAATGTAATAGTATAGTAAGGCATAAAACGCCAAAAAACGACATAGTATATTAAGGCAAAAAATGTCATAGTATAGTAAGGCAAAAAAACTTGAAAAAACGTCATAGTATAGTATGGCATAAAATGCCAAAAAAAGACATAGGATAGTAAGGCAAAAAAATTGAAAAAATGTAATAGTATAGTAAGGCATAAAACGCCAAAAAACGACATAGTATATTAAGGCAAAAAATGTCATAGTATAGTAAGGCAAAAAAACTTGAAAAAACGTCATAGTATAGTATGGCATAAAATGCCAAAAAAAGACATAGGATAGTAAGGCAAAAAAATTGAAAAAATGTAATAGTATAGTAAGGCATAAAACGCCAAAAAACGACATAGTATATTAAGGCAAAAAATGTCATAGTATAGTAAGGCAAAAAAACTTGAAAAAACGTCATAGTATAGTATGGCATAAAATGCCAAAAAAAGACATAGGATAGTAAGGCAAAAAAATTGAAAAAATGTAATAGTATAGTAAGGCATAAAACGCCAAAAAACGACATAGTATATTAAGGCAAAAAATGTCATAGTATAGTAAGGCAAAAAAACTTGAAAAAACGTCATAGTATAGTATGGCATAAAATGCCAAAAAAAGACATAGGATAGTAAGGCAAAAAAATTGAAAAAATGTAATAGTATAGTAAGGCATAAAACGCCAAAAAACGACATAGTATATTAAGGCAAAAAATGTCATAGTATAGTAAGGCAAAAAAACTTGAAAAAACGTCATAGTATAGTATGGCATAAAATGCCAAAAAAAGACATAGGATAGTAAGGCAAAAAAATTGAAAAAATGTAATAGTATAGTAAGGCATAAAACGCCAAAAAACGACATAGTATATTAAGGCAAAAAATGTCATAGTATAGTAAGGCAAAAAAACTTGAAAAAACGTCATAGTATAGTATGGCATAAAATGCCAAAAAAAGACATAGGATAGTAAGGCAAAAAAATTGAAAAAATGTAATAGTATAGTAAGGCATAAAACGCCAAAAAACGACATAGTATATTAAGGCAAAAAATGTCATAGTATAGTAAGGCAAAAAAACTTGAAAAAACGTCATAGTATAGTATGGCATAAAATGCCAAAAAAAGACATAGGATAGTAAGGCAAAAAAATTGAAAAAATGTAATAGTATAGTAAGGCATAAAACGCCAAAAAACGACATAGTATATTAAGGCAAAAAATGTCATAGTATAGTAAGGCAAAAAAACTTGAAAAAACGTCATAGTATAGTATGGCATAAAATGCCAAAAAAAGACATAGGATAGTAAGGCAAAAAAATTGAAAAAATGTAATAGTATAGTAAGGCATAAAACGCCAAAAAACGACATAGTATATTAAGGCAAAAAATGTCATAGTATAGTAAGGCAAAAAAACTTGAAAAAACGTCATAGTATAGTAAGGCAAAAAAACTTGAAAAAACGTCATAGTATAGTAAGGCAAAAAAATGAAAAAAACGTCATAGTATACTAAGGCAAAAAAATGAAAATAAACGTCATAGTGTACTAAGGCAAAAAAATTTAAATAAACGTCATAGTTTAGTAAGGCGAAAAACGTCATCGAATAATAAGGTATAAAATGTCATAGTATAGTAAGGCATT